CATCCCTTGTGAACCTCTATTGCTATCCCTTTCTGTTTTTTTTTACAAAAGATAATCTTCATTGATCGAAAAAAGATACTTACATCCTGGAGAGCAGCCAGGCTTGGAAATCAAAGAAACGACTCGTAGTCGGGTACAAAGAGAGGGCCTTACGAGCCACCAAGTGGGCTACCCTATTACTACACCGACCTACAAATCGAACACTAAACCCTGAGCGAACTGCCAAGTGATGAATAATTTCAGCAAGAATAGCACCAATCTGACTATCACTAGCATCCGCCTGGTTGATTTTGTCAATAATGACCTTAGCATCACCCTCAAAACACACTTCCATGATCCCCCGATTCAGGCACCACATGACAGCTTCGCGTAGCACCAACACCTCCACTATCATGGGATCATCAATGCCCGGGAACTGAAACCCAGCAGCCATCAGGACCCGTCTAGCTGGGGTCATAACAACAATCCCTCCATCTGAGTGGGATCCCTTCCTCGTAGCCTCATCCCACATACAAACCAGCCCAGCAGCCTCCACCTGAGCCGGTTGAGGTGGGGGAAGGATTGAGGAGGGCGAGCACCGATCGACAGGCAGCCCAACCCATTCCTCATACCGCTGGTTGTACTGACGCATCAGAGCAGGGATCCCAAACTGCTTGCCTTCGACGACAACCCACTTACGAGAACGCCAGATTCTCCAAAGGACAGCAACAACCGCCATGAGTAAGGATGACTGATTTAACAGAGACATTAACCGCTTAAGAAACATAGGGAAAGTGTGCTGAGGCAACCCTTCGCCCAAGGAAGCCAGCCCCGAATAGTCCTAGAGTGCCTAAGCCACCAGACAATAGAGGAATAAATGCTCAAAAGTTTCTGACTCGGCCCAGCAAACCAGACACCTAGGTAAAACCGGAACAACTTTGGCAATGAGGGCTTCCGTCGTAGGAAGCATGCGATTTAGAATTTGCCAAACAAACACCTTCAATTTAGGGGGCAGGTGAGCCTCCCACAACCTGATCCAACTAGCCTTGTCCATCCAGCTAACTTTTGACCTCTAATGACCCTTCCGTCTATCAAGGGTGACAGCTAAATGATAGGCCGACTTCACAGTGAATATGCCCTCTGGTGTGTTATGCCAAATCAGCTTATCCTCCACCGGTAGCCGCGGAAGGGGGATGGCTTTAATGGTCACACATGTAGGAGGGTCGAACCACTAACTCAATTTCTGGTCACACCACCGCCCCCCTTCTAGACTGATCACCTCAGCAACCACCGGACCCCCTCCACTTGTAAGACCTGGGGGTTATACCTGGGAGGATCAAACTGCAAGTGAGGAATCCAGTTAGAGTGGAGTAGGGAAGCAGACTGCCCATTACAAATTTGCCATCGGAGCCCTGCCTCTAATAACTGACGGCCATACAGAATACTCTGCCACCCCCATGAGGGGCGAGATCTCGCCGTGGCCGATAGGAAAGACCCATTCGGAAAATACTTCCCTTTAAAGACTTGAGCTAAGAGGGACTGGGGCTCCTGAAGGAGGCGCCAACCAATTTTAGCCAAAAGCGCCTGGTTAAAATGTTCAAACCGGCGAAACCCCATACCTCCATCATGTTTACTCCGACACATATTCCTCCATGACATCCACCGAATTCTCGAATGGTCCTCCTCAGCGCCCTACCAGAACCGTGCCACATGTTTATCCAGTAAGCGACACAATGAGAGAGGCAGTCTGAAGCAGGACATCACATGCAACAGAAGTGCCATGGCAATGGACTTGATTAGGGTTTCCTTAGCCGCCCAGGATACGTTCTCCGTTTCCATCCTTGGAGGCGATCAAACAGTTTTTCCTCCAAATACCAGAAGGTATCCATCTTAGACCGAGCAATCACCGTAGGCAGACCCGAGTACTTATCACGAACCCCAACCGCCCCAACTCCTAGAACCGCAGTCAGGATTTCTTGGTCTGGCAAAACAATGTTTCGACTAAAGCAAACAGCCGACTTCTCCAAGTTCACTCTCTGGCCACTGAGCTCCTCATACTCATTCAAAACCTCGAATAAGTTCTCACACTCCTGGAGAAACCCACGCAGGAACAAGTACGAATCATCAGCAAAGAACAGATACAATATCCGCGGGGCCTGAGGAGCAACTTTGATTCCCCCAAGCTTATCATCAGCAATAGCCTGCCGAAGAAGCGCGGCAAACCCCTCCGCACAGAGCACAAACAAGAGCGGGGACAACAGATCCCCCTGACGGAGGCCTCTAGAGGGGGAGAAGTAGCCCGAAGGGGTGTCAATCATTAAAATGGAGAAAGACGAGGACCGAAGGCATTCTTGTATCCATCCCCGCCAGGTAGAGTTAAATCCATTTTTTTTCCAAGACAGCGAGAAGAAAGGGCCATTCAACTATATTATAGGCCTTTTCCATGTCAACCTTTAGAGCCATGTACCCTTTCTTACTACGTGTCTTAATTTTCAAATAGTGCATTAACTCATGCCCAAGCAGGATATTCTCGACAATTTGCCGGTCACGAATAAAAGCATTTTGACCCTCCGATACGATTTGAGGTAGAAAACCCGCAAGTCTCTCAGCCATGATCTTATTAATGATCTTATACACAAACTGGCACAGGCTGATTGGCCGCAATTGCCGCATATTCTCCACGGAATCAACTTTGGGAATCAGGGTAAGCCAGGTATGGTTGAAACTACGAAGCATCTTGCTAGTCTCAAAGAACGAACAAACTGCCTCGACCACCGAGGCGCCCACAATGTGCTAGAAAGATTTGAAGAATTTCCCTGTGAATCCGTCAGACCTAAGAGCCTGCTTCGACCCCATAACAAACACCGTTTTGCGAACTTCATTAGGGAGAACTATCGCCGTTAAGCTGGCATTCATTGCTGGGGTAACAGTGCAGGCGATAGGCAAGCCTGCCATATGCTCTGTCATATTAAATATCTGATTCTCCGAGGTGAAGAGATTCTGATAGAAATTGGTCGCAATACCAGCTTTGCCAGTCTCGTCCGTGATCCACTCGCCCTCGTCATTACGAAGGCCGGCCACAAAATTCTTCTTACGGCGCGTCCGAGTCACTGTATGAAAATAAGATGTATTTTTGTCTCCCTTTTTTAACCAGTGGACCCTTGACTTTTGCTGCCAATAGAGCTCCTCCGCTTCCCATTGCCGATTCAACTCAACTTCCAGAATCCGGATTGTATCCCAATCAATTGGATGGGAACACTTGAGAGCTTCAATTTCATTCTGGAGAGTTTTTATATTTCAGAGGGAGTTAGTGGTTCCCGCCCTACTCCAATCATACAACAAGTGACGGAGCTTCTTAAGGCGTTCCCATAAACGAAACATTGGTGTCCCTTGAATATCTTCCTGCCAGACGTACTGAACCATAGCCATAACCTCAGGATTATCCGCCCATCGGGCATCAAACCGGAAGAGAGGGCGGCTATTACGGGCGTAGGGCTTATCAGCGAGGAGGAGTGCCCGATGATCGGACCCTTGATCAGTAAAATGTTTAACCAAAGTATCCGGGTAACGATCTTACATGAGATAAACATAATAACGAGACAAATCCCTTTCTGTTTTGTTTGTAGTACTCTTTTTGGTTTAATGCAATTCACCATTACAAAAAAAGGTGGAGAATTAAAGATATTTTTCCTCTTGTTTTTTTAATCGGCTCAGATCTTCTTCGTTTTAACTCGGATTTCAATTTTTTTTTGCACAGATGGAACGAGTTTGTTGTGCTCTACAAAATGAGATCAATTTTCAATATTTTTTTAGAAAAAAAAAATCATGCCTCTATTACCAACTGCATACCACATGGTATCTTCTTCGTTTTAAAGTCGTTTTTTAAAATTTTTGCATAGAAGGAACGAGTTCATCATGATCTATTGGATCTACAAATTTCTGGGTGAACAAAATATATGACCAAAAAATACCACTATACCACCTCAGTACGGGGTGGTATCTTGTGGTACACAATGTTGAAAGTCGTAAATGACACTCCTACTATCATGTATTCAACCATCCTACAGTCTTGGTATGTTCATACCATAATGGTATGCTTTATAGCATATGATATGCTCTTATTTCAATACTAGACAATACTATATGATATAGACTGGTAAAAAATGACTCAATTTTTTTGTTCCAAAAATATATCACAGTATATATCATTTTGAAGAGCACAATTAATATAATGTAATTGTGAAAAAAATAAAATTCTGACTTAAAACAAGTGAGAAATCGTCCATTAAAAATTAAGGGAGAAAATTAAAGTCTTTACAAGAGTGAGAGAGGGTACTGATGTGGCGGATCATAGGGGTGGGCAACCGGTTCGGTAAACCCGAACCGAACCGAACCGAAACCGAATTAAACCGAACCGAAACCGAATTAATGCTATTCGGTTCGGAATTCGGAAGGAAAATATGGATAGTTCGGAAACTAGGGTTCTCTCAACCGAACCGAATTTCCGACCGAAAAACCGAAATACTATAATTGCAACCTCCAAATGGTGGATTTTTATGTTTGTAGTTGTTTTTAGACTTAAATATTTGAATTGTTTTATGACTTATGTGTTCAAAAGATTGATTTTATCATTGATGATGCATATAAGTACATATTTATTGTTTATATTAGGGGTAAAAATAATTTAAAAGTGAGAAGATACAAGTATTTTAACAAATTCGGTTTTGTGTGAAAAACCGAACCGAACCGAATTATAATTCGGTTTAAACCGACCGAACCGAATTATAATTCGGTTCGAATTCGGTTTGAGGTTTGGGAGAATTCGGGGACCCGGTATTCATAATTTCGGTTCGGTCGAAACCGAACCGACCGAATGCCCACCCCTAGCGGATCATAATTGAGTTATGCATGGTTTAGTGACCTGACCGGATCCGCCCAAAATTTCCTTCCACTATCGTAGATGTTGCAATTTGTGATTGGATTTTCAAACAATGAGGCAAAATGTAATTTCTTCAAAATTATGGGTCGTAAATACTAAATAGTAATTTGCAATCAAATTTGTTTTTTTTTTTAAACATTGCAGACTGCAAAATATAGCGTAGGTGAGGTGACTGGTGAGTCGGGCGCCGGATGACAAGTTTCCCCGTTTCAAACACCGCCCGCGCTAAGAGAAAGAACGCCTATGTTATGACCGACGACGACAAGTTGCGGTTTTGAGTAGCCACCGTAGAGCATTCACAATGTTGCACGAGCTCCTGCTGGCTCTTTTAGGCTACACCGGCGATCTCGTCGTTGACGAAAGAGAGCAGCAGACTTCTCTCGGTGTTAATTTCTCGCCGGACGCTCCCATCTCCGACAACCGCTCCTTCAAGCTTGCTCCCGACCTTTCCTTCCTTCAGCCTTCCGATAGGTACCTCTACTTTGCCCAATCGATCTCAATTCCCACTCCAACTTTTCCCGCCAACACTGCTGCTTCTCTAGGGTTTGCCTAGTTACGATTCCCTACAACGAAATGGGAACAAAATGAAAATTTATCGAAGGTTATTGCTCTTCTACAGGGATCTTGTCGAAAGGATCATCGCATTGGGTTTCTATTATAGAGAGCTTGATCGCTTCGCTTCCCAGTCTCGAAACTTGAGCTGTATAAGGTCTCCGTACGTGTCACCGTTGGTGAGACTCGCTGAGATTTCGAAGGACGAGACTGAAAGGCAACCCAGCGTTTACCGAAGAGCCATAGCTAATGGGGTTGTGGAAATACTCTCCCTTTACCGGTCTGCCGTACTTCACATTGAGCAGAAGTTGTTGTCCGAGACCCTACCCATCCTGGCTACAGTCACGCAAGGGCTCAACAAGGTTCTTACCTCACCTGCATTGCTTTACTCCAACCTTTTCTGTTCAAGAAATTAATGGAAATCTGTTGCTGTTTTTCCTTTCCCGCTTTATCTTTGCATTTTTGCAGTTTTTTGTCATTTTGCCACCTTTATATGAGCTGGTTTTAGAGATTGAACGTGAAGACTTTCGAGGAGGACATCTACTTAGCCTCTTACATAAGCGATGCCATTGTGGGGTTCCTGAATTACAGACTTGCGTTCAAAGGTTTGATTTTGTAATTCGTTGTCGTTTTTACTTTGCCAATCTCGCTTGAGTATTTGAGATGCCTATTTTGGTTCAATAAAGTTATATAGACCTTGTGGAATCAGCTAACAGTAAGAGCTTCAGGGTTGTAACTTTCTTCTCTGTTGAACTTTGGGAAAATGTAGGCTTCTTTGGCATGGCCATCAAGTCATGTATAACCAACTTGCTTCATGGATGGTTTATGGAATCCTTCAAGACCACCACAGTGAATTTTTCATCAGAAGGTATTCAGAGTCATTATTAGGAATATACACTGATTCTAAATCTCAGCATGGAAATACAAATTTAAACTTCACAACTGATCCATATTCTGGTTTGCAACACGAGTTATGTATGTACAACCAGCGTTGTAAACTTTCAATGATAAACATTTCCTATTTCAATTCCCTTTCTCAAAGCATATCTCCGGTTCAATATTTGTTGATCGAATGTTCCGTGTTCTGCCCCGTCTGAGTTAGGTTGTTTTCCTGTGCTTTTCCGTTTTCAATCTGTGATGTTTCTACATTGATTTTTTAGGCTGGAAAAGGAGGAAAATCACAGTGTCTCTGATCATGAAATATCAGATAGACTAGCACGTTTATCAACAGATGATGCATCTTTAACTGATTGGCACTCTGGATTCGATACTTGTCTGGTATGAATACCTGCTGCTTGTTTTTTTCTTCGTTGTTTCTTTGACTATCAACATTATAACATTCTATTACTCGTTTACTCGGTTCCGTAAAATAAATCACTGTTATTATTGGATCGTGTTAAAATCTTTTGTACTCCTATGTGCACCTGTTACAAGTTCTATCAGTTTATTGCACTGATCCTGTATAAAGTTTGGACAGGCAGACAGCTTCAAAAATAAAGGTGAACTCCTTAGTTATGTTGCTAGCTATGCACAAGTCTACACTAGTTTCATCAAGACTGCTTTTAGATGAAGAATTGATACTTGTGACTAGTGGGTAAGACTTTGAGTCTCCCAGAGAATTAGCATCAGTTGTGAGAAATGACACAACTAATCCTTTTGCTGGCTATTTTCTCGTATCCTATACACATAAATCAGTAAGCATTAACTGCTCAGTCATCTAGGTACCCACCTCGTTTACTAGGCTTCAATATTGACCTTTATAATTTTATTCTGGCGTCTCTATGTTTAATGTTTGTTCAAATTCGCAGTTGTATTCATTTCTGCTTTCAATCCACAAATTAATATGTCTTGCTGTGAGGTAACTTTTGCTTCAACTGGAATGCTTATTCCATGACATTTGCAGGATATGCTACCCTCTTATATTCCTACCAGTGTTGCTGATTCAATTCTGTTTGCTGGCAAAGCCATTCGCATTCTGCGGAATCCAAGTCCTGGGTTCCAATTGAAGGATCCATTAGATAACCAACAGGTAAAAAGGGGTGCTCAAAAGGTTCAGGGGTTTGTGGGGCGATTTTCGATTCAGAAGGACCCCTTTGTGAGTACAAGCCTTATTGGAAAGGAATTGCTTCCGCACTCTGAGGCTGATAAGATTGAACTCATGCTCAAGGACTTAAAGGTTTACATTTTTAGTTCATATTATCGTTAATAGAATTTATGCTGGATACCATAAATTATCATTATCATCATACCTCCTTTGTATCTTACTTAGCAATTGTCGCATCAGACTGCAGTAGCTTAGTACTGGCAGTGAAGCAAAGTTTTTTTTAGTGCAGGATTCCTCAGAATTTCACAAAAGATCGTTTGAGAGTGCTGTTGGATCCATTCGAGCAATAGCGGCTAGTCATCTCTGGCAGGTGCTGCATGTTGCAAGTCCTTTTGTTATCTGCCAAAGCATCCTTTGACATGTATTGTTGTTCTTGCTATAGCTTGTGGTTGTACGTGCGGACTTGAATGGCCACCTGAAGGCTCTTAAGGACTATTTCCTCCTTGCCAAAGGAGACTTCTTCCAGGTATAAGACATTCAAAAGTTTAGAGTTTAAGACATGAATAATTGCCCCTTTCCCTTTATAGTGCGGCTTCATTCTTGCTTGATATTCCTGTTTTACTAATTAACTGTTTGACAACAGCAAAGGAACTTATGTAAAAAACAAATAGCTTTAGTTTGTATTTACTAGAAATGTTGTCCACTCAGGTCTGGGGTTGTGTTGCCAACAAAAGTCGCTGTTACTAAATTGGTTTTATCTTTGGCTTTGCAGTGAACCTTGATGTTTCAAATAAGTATCTTTCTTGAAATAAGAGAATGAACACAAACTCCTTGGATTTTGTAGGCAAGTGAATCTGCATTGTTGTTGAGATGTACAGGAAATTGATCTCATAGACAACATGCTTATCGTTGCATCTTGGCTAGCTTTTTTGGCCTCTCTTTCTTCCTTTTGCGATAAATGAGGACTTCGGCTTCTATTGTATTGTTTTATCTGAATATCTTCATTTGGTTGGCAGGCAATTCCGTTTCTGTATTTGTAGATTGCACTTACTTTTAAATTTATTGAGTTCGGATAAACAACTAAAGTAGTGTTTATGATGCCTGTTTGTGTATTCCAGTGTTTTCTTGAGGAGGGCCGGCATTTGATGCGTTTACCACCTCGGCAGTCAACTGCTGAAGCTGATCTTATGGTTCCATTTCAGCTTGTAGGTTCAGCTAGACATTTCCCTGGTCAATCTTCTGACTGCTGACAGTTTTCTGCAGTTGATTTCATCTTGCAACATCCTATTCAATGTTACTATCCAACTATATGTCTGGTTGTATGTGGATTTCAGGCTTCAATGAAAACAATCGGGGAGGAAGACAAATACTTTTCTCGAGTATCCTTGCGGTCAGATCTGTACATTTTAGTCTATCAGGTTATTTGCTATTCAGTCTTTTCTTGATTTGAATACACCAACAATTTCTTTTCATACTCTATAGGATGGTTTCATTTGGAACTTCAACGAAATCCTATATTGGTGCAAACCCTAGCTCTGGGTTACCAACAAATTCGTCTGAGATGTCACTTGATGGATGGGATGGCATTGCTCTTGAATATGCAGTTAATTGGCCTTTGCAGTTGTTCTTTACCCAAGAAGTACTGTCCGAGTAAGAATCTGCTGTGGCTATACAATTTTTTATCCTTTCCATCTCTGGTTGCTTCTAATGGCGAAGTTGAATATACTGATTAATAGTTCATTTGGTAAACTCTAGTTACCTTAAGATCTTCCAGTACTTATTGAGGCTCAAGAGGACACAGATGGAACTGGATAAATCATGGGCTTTGGGCATGCATCAAGATCATAAACGCTTTGCCAGACGTTGCAACAACAGTGCGGGGGGTTCATTGTCTCAGCAGCGACAGCAGCGAGTTAGGCCTCTGTGGCGTGTGAGAGAGCATATGGCATTTTTGATTCGGAATCTTCAGTTTTATATCCAGGTAGGTAATCCTTACTGTGTTGTCAGCTTTTCTGCATGAAAATAATATTAAAAAAAACGTTACAGGGTGTGCATGAAAGCTGTCAATGTAATAATAAAATTGAGCTGATCACTGATGCAGTCCACTTAATTATTATAATTGGAATTACCGTGTAAAGACATGTAAGAATTAATTAAGATGGGAAGACTGAAAATTAAGCTTGATTCTTTCTTGCAGGTTCACTACTTTGGTTATTTGCTTTTGGAGCTAATTTTGTTAGCCTTTCGTGGGTTGCTCTAACAAGTAACAGTTCAGGATGAACAAGATGGAAAACTATGGAAGTAAATGACTTTTTTAAAGAAAAACTTATGATGAGTGTTCTTCTAGAGTGCATACATGAGAAAGCAACGATTTGGTCTTTGGTGGATAAATTGGCACTTTCTAGCCGTTTGAGCCCAAAATTCACTATGCTACTATATCCTTCTTTTGTGATTCTATAGCATGTAACTCCCTGCTTATCGGTTCCATTAATCAGTATCCAATTTGCGTGCTACTCTGTGTTAGGTGGACGTGATAGAATCTCAATGGAATATTTTGCAAGCTCATATTCAAGATTCTCAAGACTTCACTGAACTTGTCGGCTTCCATCAAGCGTATGTAATCTTCAGTTGCATGGCTGTAGTTCTTGGTTCTTTGCAGAGTTTGTCTTTTCTACGTGTATTGTAAATTATCATATAGCTCACCTTTTCTTTCCTTATACATACAGGTATTTATCGGCTTTGATTTCACAGTCATTTGTAGACATTGGCTCTTTATCAAGGATACTAGACGGCATAATGAAGCTTTGCATGCAATTCTGTTGGAGCCTGGAGAAGCAAGAGAGCAATCCAAATACCAGTGAACTGGAACGTATAACTGAGGTACTCTCCTAGGCAGTACAGTGGCAGACCCCTTTTCTTTTCCTTGTGAAAGGAAATTGAAAGAAAAAAGACAAGCATTTTAATTGTGAATTTGTCACTTCTAATTATATTACCCTCTTTTGCTGGCGTACTTTCATATTAGTACTCCCTTCCCTTTGTTTTAGTGGAGCCATACCTAACAGTTATCAATAACGCTGCAGGAATTCAACAAGAAATCAAATGCCTTGTACACCATATTGCGCAGTAGCAGAATAGCAGGGAGTCAACGAGCCCCATATCTCAGACGGTTTCTCATGCGTCTTAACTTCAATTTATTTTTCGAGGTAAACATCCCAACAGATGCTGCAACTTATGGAGAACCCTTGGGGTTTTCAGTTATACTTTTACCTGGAGTTGTGCCAACGAATGTCGTTTTTGTTGACAGACGACTGCAAGAGGCGTTCTTAATATTGTTAGGGCGAGCCCTGAAGTCACTTGAGATTGAGCAGCAACTCGAGTTTCTGATTCATTCCTTGGGGGTGACCTCCCCTACCTGGACAGAGAGCTAAAGTAGCCGGTTCAGGTTTTTATGTCTACTCTCACATTGTGCCTCCCACCTAAGAATGGCTTTGTCTGATTCATGTAGAGGGGGTTACGTTATCTGCCGGGTTTTTGTGATTCGAGTTTGATTGGGTTGTGTGCTTGTGGCTGGCCTTCCTGTATTTAGACCTTAATCCTTACAATTGGGTGCCGTTTGCTGATAGATATACATGGATCTGTCTGATTGTCTTGTAGGTTTTTTGTTCACATGTTCTGTTATGGGTTTTTTAGTAAATAGAGATCGTGTCGACCGTAATGTAGGGATGGCAATGGGTTAAGAACAGGTTGGGCATCACGATTAGTAGTGATGGGGCGGGGTGGGTACCTCAATATCTGTCCCACCCCATATGGATATTACCCGTCCCGATCCGTAGTACGTGGGGCAGGCCTCCCCTACAGAGCGGGGCGGGTAATATCCATACGGGGCGGTTCGGGTTGGGTCGATCCATTCTTGGATGTTATTTGGAAAAAAATGCATGCAAAATGTTACTTTTGCGATAAAATAATGGGAAGACATTTTATGAATAAATATTTGTGATAATATAATAGATAATTGAAAGATTGAGTCTATTAATTGGGTTAATAACATTTTGTACACCTCTACTATTTTAAATTAACAAACGTACCTTCTACTAATTTTTAGCACAAATATACCATTCTAATAATAAAACATACAAAATGTACCCTTCTATTTATTTAATTATCTGTTAATTGACTGTTAATATGGTAGGGAAATGACTCAAATACCCTCACTTTCCCTTAATTGGTTTTATCAAATTTTTATGGCACCCAATTACAAATTAAAACTCTTTTCACCAAGGTTGTCAAACCGGTTTAAGTTATTAAGCCGGTCAAGTAAGGGGTTCGAGGTTTAATGGTTTGATCGGGGTCCGACTGGTCTGAGTAATTTTAGGCGTTTTCTAAATCGATATACAAATAAAGTAGTAATTAAAGATTTAATGACTGAAATAAAATATATCTATTAAAAACTTATTTTTCACAAAATAAATCTACCCAACCTTCATGACTCACCCACTATTTCTCTTCCTCCGTTCCTCTTCCTCTCTTCCCCCTAATCTTATTCTTCCTCTTTAAGGGTCGAGTTTTCTGGAGGCCGTTTTGAAGCTCGATTCGGGTTGGACCGCCTCCAACTGGAAGTTCGATAAGGGTTTAACAACCTTGCTTTAAAAAAAAAACCCAGAGAGCAATGGCAGGACTGTTCGCCTCCGTCATGTCCACCGGCAGGTCAAACGATGTCCCAAAGTCAAACTCTGAATCAGCCTAGCCGCCGTCAGCTGTACCACTTACATCCCGAAGTTCATCCCCGGAGCACGATCGCCGCCCAGTCCCAAACAGTAAGTACTCGAAGTCCCTATGGCGCCACGTGTGGCGGCGAGATCGGCCCCTCCGGGTTCATCCGCAGCGCCTACCGGAGTCCTCGACGACCCGGTATTTCCCTACCTTCTCGTCTATCTCTTGTTTCAGCGCCACCATGGCTCGCCGGTCGTTCAGGAGAAGCAACTACAGGAGTCGCCACTGCTCGCCGGGATTAAAGTGGTTGTTGATTGTGTGGAGACTCAATTGAAGGGGACCTTTGCTCGCCGGAGAAAGTCGCCGTTTCTCCAGCCGCCAGCTAGGAAGAGTCGGTGCAGTCGCCGTCAATGGTCCGCCGGAATCTATCGGTGGAGAGATGTGGCATACGAAAGGGTGGAGCTCGATTAAAGGGGACCGGTTGGCTATGTTTAATTTTTAATTGGATGTGATAAAAAAATTAATAAAACGCTCTAAGTGAGGGGTATTTGGTCATTTTCGAGCTCCTCTAACAGCTGACTCACAGATAATCAGACAAAAGGTCATATTCGTTACTTTTTAATATTAGAAGAGTATATTTGTACTAAAATTAGTGGAGGGGTATGTTTGTTAATTTGCAATATTAGAAGGGTACAAAATATTCTTAACACAAAGATTAAGTCTAACTAGTTGAAGAAAAATCAAAATAAAAGAAATATGAATAAAATTGCAAGAAATCGAGATAAAATGGGTCAAGAACGGAACATGACAGATCGAAAGTAGATACCCATACCCCGCCCCACGTTACTGCGAGTCGGATAATATTCAACCCATTGCGATCAGGTCAGGTATACCCGACGACACGGGTTCAAATTAGCATCCTTAATCACCATATCCATGCCCGCCTTGCCCATTTGCTTTAAAACTCGTCTCACCCCAAAACCTGCCATGGATTTTCCTTCTTCGACCCTTTTATGATTGTAGTTTCCAGTCATCCTAACTAGCTATAACATTAACCACAACAACATCAATTTTGATCTGGGTCAAATATATTGTGTCGCGTAATAATCCAACATCCAGATAACCCAAGAATTAAGACGCGTATATATGAAACCTCCTCTCACCAAATTAAGTTACCATCCATCTATTATAAGTTCATAAATTATTTCTGAAGCTACAATATTATTGTCTTTTCAAAATCTCACAATCACTTGTCAAGAAGTAACAACAGTACTTAGACTCTATAACCGAGGGGAAAGAATGAAAGTTCAATATCAAGCAGCTTGGATACATCATAGTTTCCCTCCAATTGTGTTAACGTACTTGCAATCACCATAACCTGAAATTTCACAGTCACAACGATTACAAGTTAGTGATCCGTATATAGCAAAACCGGGAACTATTTATAAAATTTCATATCGTAAAATTGAAAAATCATTAGGGAAAAAAAAAACAAAGGTGTGTATAAAAAATATCTGTGTGGATGGTGAACTTACTAGGATCAGTATTTGTGAAGGTACCAGTGCCAGAAAAATCACAATCGGATTTTTTACCATGAACTTGGTAATATAGATTCATGGCGAAAGCTGCGTGGGACGCAACTGTGTTGGGTTCATAACAAGTCCCTCCTGGTTGAATTGGTCCGCAGTCAACATCTGGCTGCCCACATGCATAATCTAGATTTGCTTGCAACTGTGCAACTGCTACTCCTGCTCGCGGTACGCACCAAAATAATCTCGCTTGTCCATCTTTCAAATAACAATCAGAAATCGGATTAGTTCGACGGCTCGAGGTTTAATTAACCTGGTTGCGGACGCCAGCAATGTGGCGAACGCGAGTACGGGTTCCTCGTCATGATAAAAAAAAAACATGATTTGCAGCTTTCGGAAGAAGAAAAAAATGAGCAGCAGCTGGAAAATGTGCACTTACTTGCCAAGTTAAAAGCCTGGAAGGAGACCAGAAAAACAAAGAGTGAAATGTAAACTCCCTTCATCTTCATGTTTCACGAGGTTAGAAAATTTAGAGGTTAAGATTTTATAGGATAATTATTAAGCATGTTAATTAAAGGCTTGGATTTATTTACCGTAATTATAATTTTTGGAGATATGCTTGAATTGAAAGGAAAAGGTAAGATATAGAATTTGGAACTGGCTACTTCAATTTGTGGATGATTAGCTGGAAATGTTGAAGCAACGTCATAAATTTTTCTTTGGAATCGGTCAACTCTATGGTTTGGATTGAATACACACTGAAAATAAAGAAAAATAAGGACTAAAATGGGAATATGGCTAGAAACATATTACATTCACATTCTTTTCCATTTACATTCTTATTTCATTTAACAAAAAATAAATTATATATTTTAATACCCCGAAATTGAGTTTAGTTTCAACTAGAAATAAATTTGTGATTTGAGTCAATGACTGATTACAAGAACTCAATATGATCGTTAGTGATAACAATTTGAACCCGCCCCACGGGTATTACCCGATAGTGATGGCAATTTGAAACTGCCCTGACCTGCAAAGGGGCCGCAGTAGCGTGGGGCAGAGAATGGGTATCTACTTCCGACCGTCCCGTTCTTGGCCCATTTTATCTCAATTTCTTATAGTATATATATATTTCTTCTATTTTGACTTTTCTTCAACTAGTTAGAGTCGAATTTTCAACTTGTTAGACTCAATTTCTCATTCTATTATCAATATTTTTCATTCATAAAGTGTTTTCCTTTTTATTTTATCGTAAAAAGTAAAAATTTCTTGTATTTTTTATTTTTTTCAAACAAAATATAAGAGTAGGATCGACCCACCCTACCTTGTATTCGCACAAATTTTATCCGCCCGGACCGTAGTAGTGTGGGGCCCTACCGATAGTCAATTGTGTGATACAAAAAGGGCCAAGATGTAATTAATAATATTAAATGGACTCAACTAAGTAGTAAGTAGACCAATTTCATGACATGATAGAGAATGATGACGAGAGATATGGAGAGGGAAAATATAGTTTGATAACACTCCGTGTATTACGATGATACCCCTAATAAGAGTTTTTAGATTAATCCAATGATAGACATTTATCTCTTTTTTCTAGATAATTAATTCTTCATTCTTTTTTAGTGGATCATATTTATTTCGTTTTAACTTGCATTTTAGATATTTTGCATAGAAAAACCAAATTAGTTATAATCTATAATATGAGATGCACTTTAACATATTTATGAGGGGCAAAAGCAAGTCATTTGATACTGTTACGAATTCGATAATGACTAGCATGCATTCTAGCAATACGAGTATGCATTTGTTGATACTTGTTTGAATGTATACCATAAATCAAGTAATAAAATCAATCATGCATATGGGAAATCATCGAATCGATACGAAAAATCGTTTAAGCATAAAACAAACCTGAAAATGCATGTTAGTTGCAATTTATCAATACATCCCAGTAATTAGTGAATAACTAACGAAAACAATGCTATGCACACCAATTACTAGTCGATGCATACCAATAACTAGTGAAATGCAAACCATTTTTACTTGAATGTAAGCCACTAAATACCAATATCACACAATTTCATACCAGTATTGCTGGAATGCATTCTAGCAACTACCAAATGCATAAAATTTTCTCTAAAAAATATCAAAATGCGATTACACATAAAACATGCGCTTTTATCACACATTTTATGACATGTTCTATATTATATTTTGCATATATCTAGCCATTATAACTTGACATTGCTTGTTATATGCTTAAATGTGTGTTTAGTAGCATCTAGACCTGTGTTATATTTTTTTGTTACACTTTGGTAGTATTTTGTGCATTTTCAGATCACAACACCCTATTGGGTCACCTTGCACAAGCTGAAGACATCAGACTCAGTGGCGGATACATGCATGGTTAGGGACACCCCTAAAATTTGGAAACACGATTATTCAACGTACGATAGTAATTTGCGTATGAGAAAAAAATGTTTAAGTGGTAGTGAGACACCTTTAAAATTTGAGAAAATGATTATCCAATCTCCCGTAGTAGTTTGCCTATTGGTACAAATAATATTTAAGTAGTAGTTTATGTGATTTAAACTTGGGAGACTACCACTATTAGTTAATATATTTGAAATTACGCTACAACTCATTTGTTATTGTGTTTTAGATCCAAATATAATAGTAAAATGTTATTCTTATCTCAAATTATTTACAAAACCTAACGGTTAAACTCAATTAAGGGATATCCTTGCCTAGTAGGATATGTCGAGAGATATTTGTTGAGCAGTATAAACACCGAATGCATTTTTATCATTTGACGAAACACCTCTGAACTTTTAATGAAACTTTTATTAGTTTGATATTTTCAAATTTAATAATTATTTAATTTAATTCTAATATTTAATTTAATTTAATTTTTTATAGAGGACATCCCAACGTAGAATTCCGGGATCCGCCACTGATAAGACTCAGTGAGCTGGAAGTAAAAATTTGAACTTTGAGGTCCAACCCAAAATGACGGCCAAAATTATGTGCCAAAACAAAAAATAGCATGCCTAGGAACCATTTTTGCAAGCTGTATATTTTTCACATTTTGACGACCCATATATAGAAAGCACATTCAAAACGATATGAACCAATAGAGAACCAAAATGGTGGCCAGAAACTCAAAATGGCGGTTTGACAAGCAAAATGAACCTTCATTTTGCCAAAGTACTTTAAAAGCATAGTTTTCAAGGAGCAGCTGTTGGCTTAGGATGAGTAACTAAATTTGAACCTTTAAATTTAAGTGGGTCCAGAAAATTCAGATCTAAAAGTTGTCAATTAAAGTCATTTTATTTTCTCTAGTTTTCTTAATCGGCTCTTATCTTCTTCGTTCTAACTCGGATTTCAATTTTTTTAGCATAGATGGAACGAGTTCGTTGTGCTCTACAAAATGAGATCAATTTTCAATATATTTCGAGATTTTTTTTACCAACTACATACCATATGGTAACTTCTTCATTTTTAAGTCGTTCTTTAAAACGTTTGCTCAGAAGGAACGAGTTCATCATGATCTATTGGATCTATAAATTTCTAGGTGAAAAAAATACTGGATAAAAAATTACCATTCTTTACCACTATGGTATGTGGGTGGTAACTTGTGATAACTTGTAGTAAACAATGATGAAAGTCGTAAATGACAGTTAGTATACTCCTATTATCATGTATTCAACCTTCTTACCATATTGGTATGTTCATACCATCATGGTACGCTTTCTTACCATATGGTATTAAATAGGAGCATACCATATGGTAATGACTGGTAAAAAATTATTCAATTTTTTTTGTACTAAAAATATATCAAAGTGGATATCATTTTAAAGAGCACATTTAATCTGATTTATCTGTGCAAAAAAAAAAATTCGACTTAAAACAAGAGAGAAATCGTCCGTTAAAGATTAAAGGGGAATAGATAAAACACTTTCCAGGAGAGAGAGGATACTGATATCATGCCGATGTGGACATGTTACTCATTGTTAATGACCATAGGGTTACTGACCTGATCCGTTCCCAGCAGCTGCCATCTCTGATTTTAGACCATCTCATTAAGGTTTAGCTACTAAAATATGCTATATAGAAGGCTCCAAGCCTCAAAATAGAGAAGGCAAGGATAAAAAAGGAAAGCACGATGGTGTTATCTCTATCTCTAGTATTTTTTTTCCTCATTGATTGTTCAAATTATGTGGAATTCTAGTTTGATGGATTGATATTGTCTATCTGATGTCTTATTTATCTTTGTGGATGAATTCATGTCAAGAAGATTGATCTTTACTTCACTGCTATCTTCTCATGTGTTGATGATTGCTTGAAATATGATTTGCGTTTGTATGAGACCGGACGTTACCATCATTCACAATCGATTGAACTACTCCGACTCCTCAAAAGATAAATTTGTAGGATACATTGTAGCATGTCAGATCTAATAAATGTTGGGCATAAGATAGGATGAAACCCCTCTTAAACATCAACCAAAGACTCGCATGACATTTAATGGAAAAATCAAATTTAACGAGGATTTGGTTCATCCCACACGTACACGTCATGGACATCATTGTTCATCATACCTAGGGAAAATATATAATTTGAATAATCGCCTTCGATTTCTACATAGGTTTCCTCTTAATCAACTTTCCTGCATTTGTGCTTTCTTTCTTACTTCAAATTCGTTCGAGTACTTTGTAGTTGTTTGCAAGTTTGAATTGTTATTTCAAAACTTGGTTACATCTACTAATTCTGAGTAGCAGATTGATTAGAGCTCTCGCGAGTAAAAGAACTTGGTAGCTTTCGTATCTACCAAGTTAAATTTGACTCTGTACAACATCGGATCAAAGTCCATTTCATATTGTAGATAAATAAATAAGTTTTAGTATATTAAAATGTATATTTATTATTATTATTATTATTAGTGATGGTAAGTTGGAAAATAATTTTTTTTTATATTGACACGTCAACTATTTGATGTCAAAGTTACTAGTTGACCGGCGTGTACAATATATTTATGAAATTGGACGTCGAGTGATAAAAAATGAAACGATCTTAAAAATGAATGACTAATAAGAAAATATATTTTTTCATTGGCAAACTTGAAAAAAATTAATAAAGTGAGTTGACCAAACATGTAATTTATCCTATTCTTTACTAGCGATAGTAGTGGGATAGTTTTGCTTTACCATCGCCATTCTCATTTTTAAAAATCTACTACATACATGCCCCATACTCATTACAAAAGGAGATTGTCAAAACAAAACCAGACTATGAACCAATATTAACGAACATGTGTTATTAAATCATCAAAAGTTATAGGTAGGATATGCATAATAACACCCTAAAGAAACACATTCAAAATATATATTATCATTATTATTAAACCCATATGCGTAAAGTATCTAAACATTAATTATAAATGATTCCTACTAAATAATTATATAACTATTTTTGACAAGTAGAGAAATCTATTATTTTACGAAAATGAAACGTTAAATGATCATATAAGTGATCTTCATAAATAAAATTATTTACTGACAAAAACTAAACTAAGAAATTTTTAACTTTGTATAACTAAATATATCATATATTAATATGGTGAATTACATTTTGTTACGGGTAGGCCAATCGTAGTCTCGTAGAGGCATCACTTTAGTGATCTAAAATTTGCTTATTTGATTTGTAAGACTTCCATCGGTCCTCCGGTTAATTTGTTACAAGCTTTCAAACCGTTCGCATTAACATCAGATCGATCGATTCTTATACGGTGGTTAAATCCCCCAATTGGATCGAGCTCATGACCGTTCACCAACCGACCTGATTTGGTTCTCAACCCTTTCCACAGCCGAGTAATACAACCATATGAACTCGTCTTCGATTGAGGCACAAGCCAGATATCTTGAAGGAATACAATATACTTCTTCGAATCATACTCGTATTTCTCTTCTAACTGGCCACTTTCTACTCTGAATAAAAGCAGGCTCGCTCGCCACCAAAGACACCAAAAACACATCTAATTCCCTTACGCACGAGCAACTAATAATCTCAGGAGAAACAAAAACACGATATTATAATCTACAAGAAGCTCTCAATATTCATTTCTCCCATGCTACATAACAGAGATATGGGGGGAGGAATATTTCTCTTCCTTTTTGCGGGTTAGCTTTCTTCTCAATTGCTTAATCCTATATTGAAACAACAATGGTGGTGTTGGGTTGGGGGGTTACAATACAATAATTACATTCCTAACTTCTCTTCCACATCTATGTAGAGGCAAAAAAAAGGGGTAACGAAATACCACCCAGACAAACTTCTCAATGCCATGCTGTGCTCTTCTTCAGTACCCATTGCCCGTTTTCTGCGACTTCTTTTTGAAATTCGATACGCTGCAATGGGGACAAATGTACTCAAGTCCATCTGTTTTAGCATAGTCCTGCAGTTCAATTCACCAAATACAATCAAATCTTTATCATACATACAACTGACAGCAGCAAACAGTTGCCAAATCACGAACCCATAAATTTAATACCTTGAAGGCGCCGAGGCCCTGCCGCCTGTCACAGCCAAAGTGAGCCCACTCCCCGCATATACCACAATTCACCCAATCTCCGGCTGCGCTACTGTTACATCATCCATGACTCGCACATCAGTAAAAGGGCAAGCGAGACAGCGAGAGAGAGAAGCAGAGAGTTGAAAAAAGAAAAGAAGAAACACACACCTGTGACACAACAAGCAGCATTCTCCGTCCACGTCATCGTGAGCCAATTCATATTCTAGAAGGTAGGTTTCATAATGCCTCTTGAGTGTGTTCCCAACACCCTGGAAAACAAAACGACGGAAATGTTATCCACCGAAATATGATGAGAAGCAATTCACACAACTACACATCAGAGAACCGGTGACCAAGCCTCTGCGACAAACTATATCAACCACAGGCATTGCTTTGGAGTCTCAAACTACATCACAGAACAGAAGATCATTTGATAGACGGTAGGAAGAAGGGAAGACATAGCAAATGAGAGGATGACTCCCAGAAATTAGAAGGGGAATTGTTTTCCAGAGGTAGTTTTTGGCTACAGTTGATTGCAGCTGGTAAGCAGCCAAGATTTATGTCCCAAGTATAATCGGCAATTGACCGTAAAAACAAAAAAGACAAAATCAATCCACTGTTTAAAGTTAAATTCAAAATTCATGCCAATTATAGACATTAGAATACACCAAAATGGAAACTAGAAGAAACAGAAATTTGGAGCATACTGTCATCCGGTTGGTGAGTGTATGATTTCGCATCTTTGAGAAGACCTGTCCCTTCCAGTTAATGCCATTTCCAACATGAAACCCACCTCTCGAAACAACCTGAGAAATCTCATCCTACCTTTGTTAGTACTGCTCAACTAACTTTTTCAGTACTTGGTAAAGACGAGGAAGACGAAATGCCATAAATAAATATATATCAGGCTAACCTCTCGATACAAGTTGAAAAGGTCAAGACGCTTAGCATTGAGAATGGCATCAGGGAACTCTGGAAGACCACCTTGAGGGACAAGACGAGTATGTCCACGAAGAATCAAGAACTGCATCACATCCCTCAGAAACTCTTCCTGAGAAATAATAAAATGTATCAATAGCTTATTACGTCATGGCCTGAATCCCTACATACAGTCAGCTGCATCCACACACACACGCATATCATGGTGCATAAGACTACAAAGACCAACAGAGACTTGTTTTTTTAATTTATAATTTGTTTATGAAAAAGACCAATACAGACTTGTTGACACATGAAAATTGCATACCTCCGAGCAAGCTTGTATTGGGGCTCTGCCACAGCCATGTTTCTTCAGAGGTAGTGGGTTTAGCGAGATAATCTGCTGAGCCTGATAAGAACTTGTTGATTTCCGGTGTGCATTAACAGGAGCAGTAGCCCCACCAGAACTATGCTTTGGAGGAGCAACCGGTAGTAGGTTGGCTTTCACTTGGTCTCCATCAAACCGTTCAGCCACAGAAAACGCAGAGAAAGGGAGCATCTTATGACGACGTGTGTGAGGAATGGGCCTCATTGCTGCAATATTCAGCTTCTCTTTAAAATTCTTTTCGCCTTTTACACCAGAAAAGGATTTAGATTCTCGGCATAGCTCGGTTCTTTTTCGACTGGGTGCAGGAGGTATCAACCAGCTAGGAGGCCTAGTCAAAACAGGGTTGTTTGGAATATGAAGCTCTTTCCCCTGCTTCGTGCAAAAGAAAAGCAGGCGCTCTGCGTCACCCTTTTCAAAAGAAGCAACAGACAACCCTTGAATGCTAGCTATTCCAAGCATAACTAAGCTGCGGTAAGATTCATCAGGAGCAAGCTGGCGCAAAACCTGCAATTGCCCAAGTGGCAGTAAGTACGATAATTTACAGGGGAATTCAGAATCTCAGGAAACGGTCTAGGATTTCATAAAGCATACATAGGAACCAAAAACAAAAGTTCACAAGCCCTCTGATCAGTAACTACAGTTGCAAGATGTTCTATGTTACTTATGTACAAGTCAATTGATGATCTCAGTGTACCATCTAGTATTTCCCAAGGCAAACACAGGAACACATAATTAGAGGCTTGTAGCCCTCTAACCAGTAACTACAGTTGCACAATGATCTTTGTTAGTTATGTACACATGCATCATTGTTTAAAGCTTCCGCCCTCCATCAAGTACAACTGATAGTATGATGGAAGACTGGAAGACCCATGTGCAACAGTGCAATTCGGCATTCTTTCAGAATTTCAATATCTATAATCTAGGTTTTTCTACCAAACCAGCATGAAAATTAAGTCCTTCCATACAACCATCATCAACCTCTTGATATTTAACAAAAGTCCAAGCAACAGTGTCTGCAACACGAACCTGTGAAGCCCACATAGGAACATTCATGCAAACTTCAAATACACTTGCCCCACATGCAATAGAAGCAGATTTCCTTGGCTCAGACGTAGGTCCTTTGCTTTCGTCGGGTGTAGGCAAGGCATGAACTAGCTGACTATTCTCGATAATTTCTTGTTTAACATGATTTTCTAAAAGCTGAAAAACCACCAGAAAGAGAGATGGGACCAATTGAGAGAATCAGTAAATGGCAAGGCATTGAATCATTCATCAAACCACTAACTCATAAGGGAAAGAATTTGCTCTTACCTGATCATTGAAACAAGTCTGTGCACTACCAGAGACTAAAAGCGATATATGAGAAGAACTACATGTTGACAGATCACACCGCATGGTTACTACACCACGAGAAAACGTCCCCGCCTGGAGTGGAGGTGGGGGAGCACTGTAGGACACAAGTTTCAAGTTGTTAGCTGATAAACAAAGAGAAATGTCAAAACCCCATTAGCAAAACCAATTCCGCAATACCTAGTCCTATTGTGAAGCTTACTCCCGCGAATCTGCAAAGAAGCATTCAATGAAGGAAACAAGTGATTCACTGAAATTCCATATATGAGTTAGCTTAGATAGAAATAAGAGTAGATAAAAACTAAGGGATGAAAAATGTAAAACATATACTAGATTGTGAAATGCGAGTCTAAACAAGCTAGATACCTTCTAGTTGGAGAGAAGGATCCTTACTAACATAAGAGGAATGCAGTTGGAATTGAACAAAAGAAAATCGGGATAAAGATGGCGACAGAAAAAGGTTGGTCTGATTTATAACTGTCATAAGAGATCACCTATTAAAATATGTGTGGTTTTACCAGAATACCTAAAAGTTACTAACCTCAATGTTCAACAATGCATTGAGCCCATCCTCCAAAGATCCCAATAAACGTGCATCCTGACAACAGAAAACACATCAAAAAATATGTCAATATTGTTGATAGAAAACACTACTTCCTCAATAAACAAGAGAGTGTGAAATGAAGAGCAAGTACCAATGTGCAGGGTAAACCACAAACAAGAAAACGTAAGTTCACATCATCATCATATATTTTTATGGCAGGAAGATTTTCAGGGGAGCCTTCCTCATCAGCCGCATCAGTCTCAGCTGGGGTAATATCAATCTTTGGAGGCTCCCCGAGCAGGCATGGTCCGGATTTACTGCAAGATTTCTGGCTATTGGAAGGGATACCATTACTGTCTTGTGAACAGTAAAGCCTGAATGACGCATGAGCTAATTGGAATGCATCACATGTGTGACTACAAGAACTGCAAAGACCGAGAGAAAATCCGAGAAGACTGTTTAGATTTTACACCATAAAATAGTTGGCACCATAATAAAGCAAACAGTTTAAGAGATAAAGCATTCCTGGTGGGAGATGAAAAAATAAAATCACCTAGTACAACATAGATGTAATATTTGAACCAAAAAACAATAACTAGGGAAGTCCTTCTGGAAATCATCTAGTACTTCTGAAAACCTTGGGCATATATCATTCACCATCTATGCTGAAGTATATAGCTTTGGGAATCAATGATTTATGTCGAGTACATCACAATACCTTTGTATCACAGAGAACAGCGCTTGACGGAAGTGCAAAGCGGCATAATACGAGAATGTACTCGTCCAATATATGACATATGGAACCCCCTGTTACAGAAAAAAAAAATCAGGCCAACAAGAGCCATGCACAGAGGTCAGGCCAAGCAACAATGTGCAATGCCTAAAAGGGCAGTTCACTAGGACTACATACCCATACAACTTTAAAATTGAAGAATAACAACACTTGTCAGAATGTACCTTAGAATAAAGTGCCTCAGCTAACTTTTCCCCATTTGGAGTCTCCAAATACACCTGTGTTTATAAAATGAGAAACTAGCAGTTAAATGATATCCAGCACTCCTAGATGCATGACCATATCATACAATATCACGTACAGTGTACAGCATAACAAGAAAGCTGTAAACATTATCAACAATTTAAGACAAATACAGAAACAGTATAGATAAGTTAGTTAAGAGCTAGAACTCCACGGCTTCATAACTGACGGCAACAATCACACTACGGATTCTGTTGTTTGGAAGCTTGACAATTGAAAGAAAATTACAGTTAAAGCTGATACTGGGAGCATACCACAGCGCAGTCAGTAGAACAATCCAGTATGCCGCTGAAAAAAAAAATACACTAGACCTAATATGGTACAAATCAAATAATAAACCTAAGTAGCTAAAGAAAGTGATACCCTTTTAACAAGACCAGAAGAAAGGTTTTAGCTGTACATGAGACAACTATATAGACAAGAATTAATCACAAAACAACAATTTACCACACATAGATACACTTGTTTCAGTCAATGAGCAAACCCGAATTTCTAAGGGCATTATTTTTTTCTTCTCTTTTTTCTTTTTCTTCATGTACAGGGCTCTGCAACTAGAAAAGACTGAAGCAGAGCTCCATAGACCAAAAATAGTAAAGAGCAAAACAGAGGTTTTTCAGAGGAACATACAGTGTCAGGCAATGTTGAACTAAAGAGGTCGCATAAGGCTTCTGGATAGGACAAGCCAACATCTCCCCATCTCAGTGATCCAACTTCTTCACTATAGTCGGTTCGCTCCCCTTGCAGATACACAATGTTGGGCTCCAAGGACTGAAGCACCTGCCTGAAGCTATCTGTAGTTGGGTTAGTCAGTACCTGAACCTGCATTCAAAACAAATCACAAACAGAAATGAACTCTTGTTTACACTATTCAATCTTACAGAAACCATGACATGGCAACCAGCCAACATCATAAGCGAAGTAAAGTCACATAATGCGCACAAGTTATTACCTCGAGACGCCCTGAAGATGCAAGCTGTGGAATAGGGTATCTGGGTTCATAATAATCGTCCGAGGGAGACGAAGAGTGATTGTGGTTGATATCAAAGGTTGTGCCACAGTGAACCGCAAGGAGACTGCAATGATTCCTTGAAGGACCTTGAGCATGAAACATCATGCATACATGCCAAGACCCCTCAAAACACAGCAAAACCAAGGAGCAGCAGAAACCCCACCTCCCCCTCAAACAACCAAGCTGACTGCACAAATACCTAACAAAACCGAACCTGGCTACACCACAACCTTTTTCAACAACAAAACCCTAAAATTGGATTTGAAGCATTAGATCCAACATCAAAAATTTCTCCAGAAAGTAACAAAAAAAACGAGAGTGCAAAATTTCCCGCATCTAAACGAAGTAAGTGGAATCCATACCCCCAAACAAAACTGGAAGAAATAGAGTAGAAAGCAGCGACCCAGACGAGACGAATTAGAAATCCAGACGAGGGCAGGCAGCCAAAATTGGGCGACTTCGAGGAGGAAGAAGAGGAGTTCAGAGAAAAAACTAAACGCAACCCAGAATGGCTAATCGGAGAAAGGCAAAAACCTAAAAGGAAGCGAACAAGAGTGGAGTTAAATAACCCTAGATGGAGATAGATTAGAAACTCATACGAACGAACTTTGGCAAAGAAGAAAATTTCACGAAAACCCGAAAGGACAATCTTCTGTGTTTCTTTTCTTCCCTTGCCAATAAAATCCTCTCTTTTCCTACGCACCGAACGGACAGAACTCCCAACAATAATATAAAAGTAACTAGCTTTTAGCACACAGTCGGATTAATTTTATTTTATTTTATATTTATGTTATGAAACAAAAATATCAAGAAAGAGCAATATTCACCATAATAAGAGTAGAGACACAAGAAAAAGGAGAGAATAAAGCTTTTTTATTAATGTGTTCCTTAGTACAAAAAAATCATCTATTATTAGGCGCACACATCACATAAAATTCCTATGGGATAAAATCCTAGTGAAGAAAAAAGAGTGCATAATCATCATAATACGCTATCTGAATCTGTCTCGGTAAAAACCTTACTAGGAAAACCCAGTGGGAAAAACCATGGTTAAGGAAAAAAGAGTGCAGTGTGTATATGCTCCCCTCATGACAACATCAAAGTATAGTGTTGTGAACAAATCTTTCAAATATTGTCATGGTAAACTTCTTAGTGAACAAATCTTCTAGATTGTCACTTTATGCATGATCTATTATGACCATTTTCTTCATACATGATCTTCAGGATCATTTTCTATGAAGATAATCCACAACCACAAGTCATTTAGACGTGTTAAATCAGAAATCATAACCAAACAATTCATAACAAATCTCATGAATTGTTGATCATTGTGCATGATCGGATGAAGTTGCTATTGTGATTTCTTTGTAATCTCCATGAGATACTTGTACGATCATAAGTAAACAAATTACTCATCTATGATCTTCATCCCAATAGGTAATAAAGTATAACTCAATGAAGTATAGCAAGATACATTTTCGCTCTAACGACATTGGCATACGGTACTTCATGACCTAATAATTCACTTCTATCTCAAGGCCTAAATTGATCTTTGTTCACTTCTAGTGACCTTATGATCATTAGGTTGTTGAAAGTATGCAATTTTTTTCCATACAAAATTGTTCTTTCATTTTTCCGACATTCTCGTCCTGATCCAGAAAGGATCTTCTTAAATCCTTCATGTTCAATTTTCTTTCTTTAAGCAATCCATGTTGTATGAAACTCTTCTAGAGTTCAATTTTCTTTCTTTAAGCAAACCATCTTTGTGAAGTTCTTGTGGAGTTCATATCAACTAAAACATATGAGATCATTATAAAATAATGTCTCAACTATTTTCTTCTAAATAAATATAAAACTTAGGTAACACAATTGTATGCAAGCGATTATTTCATACCACAAGGTCATAAGCAAAATCACACAACATCAATTAACCAAACTACTCTCATAAATAAAAAATCATACATGTCACACGCATAAGCATATTTCAATACAATCATACATGCCAAATGCAAATGCTCTAATGCACTAAATGAATATGCCATATTCATCCATTTTGTCTCAATCCATTCTATGGATTGGTCATTTGATCGATAAATGTTATCAAGAATGTAACATGTTTGCTTCCGGCAAACTAATCCTTCAGGGAGTTTCGTATAAATATCATTATCAAAAGGCATCCATATAAATAGGATACCACAATGTCTACCATATGCAAAATTCATCCTTCTTGAACTGTCAAACTATTAAATTTCACAATATAGTTGCATCCACCACAAGAGAGTATGTCCTCTCATAAGTAATGTTAGATTTCTACAAGAAACCTCTTATGAGAAATTTTGTTATATCCCTCACAATTTCACACATTTCCTTATGCGTTTGAATAAAACCTATTTGTATCCCGTTAGTTTTACATCTTCAGGTGTAAGGACTTCTGGTCCCAAACTTTTATCAAGTAAGTCTAATGCTTTCTTTTATGTTGGCCAATATATATTCCTTTGTATGCATCAATAGACTTTTACTTTTGATCCTCTTTGTATCTATCACGTTCGGTGCTGCAGCATAATCAAAACCATTGTCGACAATAAATACACTTCGGTTCTAACTTTTTTCATACAAGCCAATTAATTGAGATCTCTTCATTTTAAAACTTTCAGGTACCTACGGTTCTTCTGGAATTATGATCTCAATTATATGACTTGACTCTTCTATAACTATTTTATCCTCGAGTTGACCATCTTAATTTATAACTCCTTTCTTTCTCGAGGATTTTTATCCTTGGAACCGATTGGTCTACCATGCTTCATGCGCTTGTCTGGACTCATTAGATTGTCCAATATGGACATTAATTGTATTAGAGCATTCACAATTGGGTATGTGACATAATCACTCCTTTTAGTGAGTAAAAGACGTTTGGCAATCGATACATTTTTTTCCTCCATGAATCACCATATGAACTTCGGGTTCATGTTTCTTCGTTTGAGGATCAAAATGAGATAGTGATGATTCCAACTCACATCTATGCCCAACTGTTTGCTTTTCTCCCCCTTAACGTTCGAAAAGTAATTCATCAAAATGATGATATTAGCAAAAAGAGTCATGAACAAATCTCTCATTGCAATGGACACCATCCCCAACATAAGTTCTTTGGAACTCATAACGTGTTGTGATGGAGCAATTGGGATGTATTCTGCACACCCAAAATTTCTAGCATTCGAAATGTTTGGTCCCTGACCAAAACCATTTGTATGAACGGGGGAACTTATGATAACTTGTTGACTTCATGCAAATTAATGATATCATATGCTAACTATCATGCCTCGACAAGAGATCGATAAGCTTAGCTTGCTCTCATAAGAGAAGTGATATCCATCATTCGACAACTAATCTCGCAAACATCAGATTGCAGTTAGATAACATACATATGTGACTATATAGTTGATGCATCAATCAAAATCATAAAATTCATATATGATTTTCACGGTGAGTATATTTTTCTGCATACACTTTTATAAAATCTCAATAGATTCAATTACTTTCACAAGTGAGTATATTCTCCTCAAGAGCATGTATCACATAATCAATCCTTTGATTGATGAATTCTCTAAACTCTCACCTAATTTCCATAAGATATCTCAATCATTTTTCGCATCTGTATTCGGGATGGTATGACCGGACATGCCAAAACAAAACTTATCCGATCTTGTAAACTTCTAGTTTACACTTTCATATGTACTAATATACATGTAGTACAAATTTCTCCAGTTAAGTATATGTTCTCTTACAACACAAAGCTGATGCAATATCAATTATGATATTCGTTCTGCTTCATAATTCGGTAATGCATTTTCAATTGACAGTTTAGTTCCTTCACGGCTCAAAACATTAGCTCTTCTGGAGCACTCACATACTCTTGTACTACATTTTGGCCATTAGGCATATACTCATTCGGTGAATTATTGTAAGCGCATATACATAGTGATAAGAATATTTTCATACTATTGGTATCACCAATATATTGTTTAGTTACTTCAAGTAACAAAACACAATCTCTTACGGAGTTTTTGCTTACTTTCATACTATATGATATAATACCAGTATTGACATTCGCGAATATTCATTCTATACGAAAGTAGACATAATAATAATAATAGTAATAATAATAATAATAATAATAAAATATGTGTTTCATAACACATTCTGACATATGAAAGTTACGGTATATGATCATGACTTTTGCTACATGAATTGTCATCCTCATTTACAATTATTCTATCTTTCACTTCTAGTGAAAAGATACATTTTCTGATTGTCGTTATCCAAACACCAAATTCTATTTATATAATGGTGTGTCTCAATCCGTTCACTTTTAAGAATGGTTTGTTTTCATTCACTTCCTGGAATGAAACAACACCCATTGGATCAAATTGTATAATATTTCTCATCACAAGTCCAATACACTTTTCATCATTAACAAACAAGAAATTAGCTTACACTTTATAAAACCTCTATGATAATATTGCTACTACAGGAGCACATATAAATTTTCATTTTCCTTCCAATGATTCTTGGACCAATAAAACATTTTTTTATACATCGGGTACAAGATCAATGATTTTTTCACCATAATGGTAACTCATATTCCTGACATTTTTTGTTACCAAATACACTTCATTTGACACATTTTTCTTCATTTTTCCACTTCGGGGGAAATTGAGATCTTTAGACTTTCATTTCTCTATATGTCCAATGTAGCAATCGATAAGTCAACCCATATTGATTTTGTTACTACAGGAGCAATTTTCATTATCTGATAATGTCAAAGCACAACTCTATGTTACAAGATCGACATATATAAAATAAGTTCATAAAATAATATGAACAAATAACAAGATCAAATAATCTCTCAAAGACAATGAGATAGATAAACATACTAGCAAGAAGCGACATGAAAATTTGCATACCTTAATCGTGTTGTGATCTTACTCAAGTATATTTGATTATGTAGAGAGACAATGACCAACCATGACTTTGGCAGAGCTTCGTGCTGATAACGTGTTATGAAATAGCAAGGAAGAGCAATAGACGCAAGAGTAAGAGTAGAGACACTAGAAGAGAGGGGGAATAAAGCTTTCTTATTCATGTGTTCCTTAGTGCAAAAAGATCCTTTATTTATAGGCACATATCATATAACTCCCTACATTCTTACCATTAATATACATGAATGTGAGAATGAATGTGGAATTTGAATGGGTTGAATGGTTACATGTGACACCCAATAGTGCATCTAATGTAGTGGTCATCCATATTAATATTTACATAATATTTTATTGTTTATATTAATCAATTCATTTATAGTTTCAATTATTTTACCTTCTTTTAATTAGTTTATTTATAATTTGATAGTAATATTTGCGGTACTTATTGATTGTTATATTACGAAGTAGCTAGTAATTCTTTTTTTAGAAGCTAACTTACTATGATTAATTATTATTTTCTAAACACTTCATCCTCCACCCTCTCCTCCAGGACCTCCATAACCATCGTTCCCGTCTTTCTTATCATCTTTAACACTGACGATGCAATCAAATTTGACCTCTGGATCGCAGTCTACTCACTTCACCTTCTAATCAATTCAACCAATGAATTCCATTAAATCTATGTCCCCTTTACAGTCTCCACACACATCATTGAATCTC